CTCTGCCTCCCGAGTGCTGGGATTAAAGGCGGGTGCCACCACCACCCGGCTCTTATAGGCCAATTTGATGGAGGTATTTTTTTTTCAATTGAGGTTCCCACTTCTCAGGTGACTCTAGCTTGTGGCAAGTTGACAATCTTAATCAACTTGACATATTACACATCACTTTTTAACTAGAACTTTTTATCATTTGTCCCCAAGGTCTCATTAATATCAATATATTATAAAACATATTACAAACTTAAAAGTCCAACCATCTTTATAAAGTAAATCACTTTAGAAGTTCAATCTCCTTAAAAAAAATTCAAAGTCTCTGTAAAACTCCAAAATCTCTTTAAAAGTTCAAAGTCTCCCAACTGTGGGCTCCTGTAAAATAAAAAGTAAGTTAAATACTTTCTTACTTCAAGAAGAAAGAACCAGGGACCATCACAATCTGAACAAAGCAAAACCGAACTCCAACAGTATAAATAACTTGATTGTCCAGAAGTCTGAGATTAACTCCCAATGTCTAGGGCTCCTCCAAAGGCCTTGGGTCACTTCTCCAGCTCCGTCCTCTGCAACACACGCAGCTGGGCTCCTAGGCTCCATCGGACTCCACTCCACTGCTGCTGCTGTTCTTGGTGGTCATCCCATGGTACTGGCATCTCCAACATGCTGGAGTCCTGCTGCTGCAACTGAACTGTGCTTTCACCATACCCCTCCCTAGGCTTTCTTCAGGGACTCCAGCTCTGCCACACAGTGCCACGGCTCAGCTGCTCTTCATGACCCCTTCATGCACTCAAAACCAGTACCACCTGGGTGATACATTACCAAGTTCAGCTGCCAGCATGAGTTGCAAGCTCAGTCCCTCTAGAACACAGCTTTGGTGTGCTCACCCTGAGAAAACACACCCAGAAGATTTCACCTCAGTGATGCTGGTCTCTTCTTAACCACCAATAATCTCTTAACTAGCCATCATCAATTGTCACAGCAAAGCAAAGCCTTCACTTCAGAGGTTCTGGTCTCTTGTTACTCACAGCTGATTCATCATGCTAAGCTAACCAGAACCACAAACTCTTTTTTTTTTTAATTTTTTTAATTTATTTTTTAAATTACACTCATGATATTCATTACTTACACTCATGATATTAATCACATTTGTGGTATTCATAGATTACATTCGAAGTATTCATTCAAATATATATATATTAATTTTAAATGTCAAATGTCATTTCTTGAAGGGGGTAGGAGGTCTTAAATACAGGCTTACAGCGAAATGGGAGGACCCCAGAGGGCAAAAGTTCACTACTGATGTTTTACAATCTTGCATCTAAGCTGTTAACGCCCATTATTCAGGATACACAGACAAGGAACTTCCCTTAAGCATTCAGGAGGGTGGAACCTGGCAGGGAATTAGCATTGGGAAGATATCAAGGTCAAGGTCCACAAGCAAGGCAACAGTTACCCAAAACGGGGGCCAGGACCCTGCAGGTCCCCTTTTATTAAAAAATGAGCTTCTGACTTGGGTTGGGTGGGACGTCAGCAGGTCACCTTACCCGTCATGGAGACGCCTGCCCAGGCCACACAGGTGCTCTGTCTTAGGTTGGTGAGTGCTCCCCAGGTATTACCTGCCTCTGAATACTCATTATCATACAGGCTCAATCGTGTGTGAGTTGCATGGTTAATTGCTGCCAAAGATCTCAGAGTGGCACTGGGCTTGCAATCTGTGTCAGAACCACAGACTCTTAATTCACAATCTCAGATGGCCCTTACAGAAAAGTCTCTGCTTCCCTCTGCAACATCACAAGCCAGGTCCCTCAGCTGTGCTGCTCCCAGAATCATCCTCTAACCTTAGAGGTTTCACAACTAACCAAGCTTTGACAACTCAGCTTTTCCAAGACCAAGTCTTCTCCAAAACATGGGTCTGTCACATTAATACCCCCACAAACCTGGCACCAATTTCTGTCTTAGGGTTACTATAGCTGTGATAAAACACCATGACCAAAAACAACTATGGGAGGAAATGATTTGGTTTACATGTCCCAGAATCAAGTCTAATGATGGAAGCCAGTCAGGAACCTAGAAGCTTGAGCTGGTGCAAATACCTTGAGGGCATTCTGCTTACTGGTTTGCTCCTTATGGCTTGCTCAGCTTGCTTTCTTATAGAACCCGGGACCTCTTGCCCAGAGTACACCACCCACCATGGGCTGGGCCCTCCCACAGCAATCACTAACTAAGGAAATGCCCCATAGGCTTAGCCACAGCCAGAGTTTCTCTGCTGTGCTGGGATTTTTCTCTGATTTGAACCTGTGCAGGTCTTACGCATGATGTCACAGTTGATGAGTTCATGTGTGCATCAGTCCTGTTGTGTCTGAAAGACACGGTTTTCGTGGGTCACCCATCACTGCTGTGTCTTACAGTCTTTCTGCTTCCTCTTCCAAATAGATCCCTGCGCCTTGAGGGGACAGGCTAGCAAACATAGACTTTTTAATTCATACAAAGCTTGGAAGTTTTGTTTTCTACAAACTGTCTTTATTGATGTTGACATAATAGGCATTCAAAATGTTTTCATATACTCCGTTCTCATTACAAGACTCTGAATTTAGAAGGCAAGAGAAATATTACTTATAACAGAAGTATGTCACATACTGTTACTCCCAGGAGAGAAAGCAAGAAGGCAGAGAGGATGCTGGAGCTGTGAACCTAGCAGAGAGGATGCTGGAGCTGTGAACCTAGCAGATGACCAGGCACACAAGACAACTCTACTTCCAAATTGGCCAATATTTTGTTAAAGCCATATTCTCAGCTATGACACTGCTTTCATTTTAAGATGAAGACCTTGTCTTAGGGTTTCTATTGCTACAACAAAACGCCATGACCAAAAGGCAACTTTGAGAGGAAAGGGTTTATTAGGCTTACACTTCCACATCATCTAATCAAGAAGTCAGAACAGGAACTCAAGCAGGGCAGGAACCTGGAGGCAGGAGCTGATGCAGAGGCCATGGAGGGTGCTGCTTACTGGCTGCTCACACAGCTTGCTCAGCCTGCTTTCTTTTTCTTTTTTTGTTTTTTGTTTGTTTTTTTGTTTTTTTTCGAGACAAGGTTTCTTCCGTGTAGTTTTGGTGCCTGTCCTGGATCTCGCTCTGTAGGCCAGGCTGGCCTTGAACTCACAGAGATCCTCCTGTCTCTGCCTCCCGAGTGCTGGGATTAAAGGCATGTGCCACCACCACCCGGCCTCAGCCTGCTTTCTTAAAAAACCCAGGACCACCAGCCAGAGATGGCCCCACCCGCCATGAGCTGGGCCCTCCACCATTGATCACTGTCTTAGGGTTTCTATTGCTGTGATGAGGCACCATGGCCATGGCAACTCTTATGAGGAAAACATTTAATTGAGGGGGCTTGCTTACAGTTTCGGAAGTTTAGTCCATTATCATCATAGTGGGGAGCATTGTGGCATGCAGGCAGATGTGGTGCTGGAGACGTAGCTGGGAATCCTGCATCTTCCAGGCAACAGGAAGTCAACTGAGACACTGGGTGGTATCCTGAGCATAGGAGACCTCAAAGCCTGCCTCCACAGTGACACACTTCCTCCAACAAAGCCATACACACTAAGACAAAGCCACACCTCTTAATAGTGCCACTCCCTATGAGATTATGGGAACCAATTAAATTCAAAGTACCACAATCACTAATTGAGAAAATACCTTACAGCTGGATCTCATCAAGGCACTTTCTTAACTGGGTTTCCTTTCTCTGATGACTCTAGCTTATGTCAAGTTGACACACAAACCAGCCAGTACAACTGACCTGTCAACTTGACACACAAACACATCACTGTTAAACCACAACCCTTTCTTTCTTATTCATCCCCAAGATCTCACATTAAAATTATAATTTTTAAAGTCCCACAGTCTTTACACACTCAAAACACATTAAAAATTCAGTCTTTAAAATATCCAATCTCTTTTTTAAAAAGTTCAAGTCTTTCATCTGTGGGTTCCTTTAAAAATAAAAATTAGATTAAATAAATACCTTCTTCAAGAGGGAAGAACCAGGGCACCATCACAGTCTGAACCAAGCAAAACCAAACTCCAACAGTATAAATAACTCGATGTCCAATGTCTGGGATTCATTCACAATCTTCTGGACTCCTCCAAAGGGCTTGGGTCACTTCTTCAGTTTTGCCCTCTGCAGCACACACAGCTGTCTTCTGAGCTCCAGATGGTTCTATTCCACTGCTGCTGCTGTTCTTGGTAGTCTTCCTATGGTACTGGCATCTCTAAAATGCTGGGGTCCCTTGCTGCAACTGGGCTGCACTTCACCAATATCATCTCATAGGCTTTCTTCATGGTGCCAAGCCTCAACTTCTCTGCATGACCCCTTCAATCTTGGGTCTTCAACTGTCACTGAAGCTGCATCTTCACCAATGGCCTCTCCTGGCCTCTCACAGTGCCAAGCCTCAGACTGCTCTCCATGACCCCTACATGCCTTCAAAATTAGTGCCACCTGGGTGACACTTACACATTACCAAGTCCTGGTGCCAACACAAGGTACAACCATGGCCACCTCTGGAGTATAACTTCTGTTCTCTCAGGAAACACTTCCCAGAAGATTTCACCTCAGTGAAGCTGGTCTCTTCTCAATCACCACTACTTTATTAGCTCCAGTCAACCAGCAGCAATTGTCCCAGTAACATAAAGTTTCACTTTAGCAGTTCTGATCTCTTGTTAATCACAGCTGATTCTTCAGCCCCAGCTAACCAGAACCATAGGATCTTAATTCAAAGTAGCAAACATTCCTTGTCTTTCATCTTCCCTCTAAAATTTCACAAACCATGCCTCCATCCTCTGCACTGCTCTCAACATTCTTATCTTCCAGGTTCCCACAGAGCATCCTACTGAGGTCTCAACACTCAATGGCTTTTCTAGCCCAAAGTCCCAACGTCCTTCCACAATCCTCCCAAAAACATGGTCAGGTCTGTCACAGCAAAACCCCACTTCTGGTACCAATTTCTGTCTTAGTGAGGGTTTCTATTACTTCAACAAAACGTTATGACCAAAAGAGCAAATTGGGGAGGAAAGGGTTTATTTGGCTTACATTCTTACATTGCTGTTCATCACTGAAGGAAGTCAGAACAGGAACTCAAGCAGGGCAGGAAGCTGAAGGCAGGAGCTGATACAGAAACCATGAAGGGTGCTGCTTACTGGCTTGCTCACAGAATTCAGGACCACTAGGCCCAGGGATGGTACCACCCACCATGGGCTGGGCCTTCCCCCATTGATCACTAATTGAGAAAATGCCTTACAGCTGATCTTATGGAGGCATTTCCTCAGCTGAGACTCATTCCTCTCTGATGACTGTATCTGGGTCACATTGACACACAAGCCAGTATAGACCTAATCATTAAGAAACCACCTTTTAAATGATTCATTTAGAATACAGGGATTTGTGAGGTTTCTGTGGCTTACTGTACCCCCTAGAGAAGTTACTTAACCACCCTGAGCTTGGTTTTATTCTCTGAGAGAATGCTCATAATACCTGCCCTGCTTACCTCCTTGAGTTATTGAGAGGGTATTGGAAGGTGATGCTCCATAAGTTGGGCAGCAATCATGTTCAAAATAATTGCAATTGGTGTAGGAAGGATAAGTGTTAGGATGGTCTATCACTCAACATTAGTGGAGGTCATTGCTGGCAATGGAAATTATGTCCTCCCAGTATCCAATTCCACCCCAAATAAGTTCCCTTTGTTGGTAATCTGCAAGGGGAGAATGCTGTCCTCAATCTCCTCCTCCTTGTAGCTTTGCAGGAGTATCTGGGTATTGGTGAAATTATTAAGGCCACTCCACGTAGTTAAAAGGGAGGTTTATTTAGTGGTGTAACTTACAAATGGATAGGTAGGTTGCAGGGTCTGGGAAAGACGCAGCGCAGTCCGGCGGTGTTCTCTGGAGAACTGTGCTCGGTCTACCTCCAGCGTCCAGGGTCCAGGAAACAAGAGAAGGGGACACATCTGGATCTCAGGTCTTCAGGGTCCTCTCTTGGTCTTGCCTTATAAGTGTGACAGTTACCAAAGTCTCAATGGGGGTTGGAACTTCCAGACCAAAGCTGGAATGGCTACCCACTACATCTGGGTGGCACTGAAAATGAACCAAATTTGAGTTGGGAAAAGAATTTTTACTGAAAGTTCATGTAGGCTTGAATTCTTGACACAAGTCTATACAGGAACATATCTAGCCCATAATGTCATTTTAAAAGACAAGTGTTATTTGATTATCTTTCCCAAAGAACTGTTAGTTCATAGCAGAAAACTGGAGAGATGGGCAGGGAGGCCTAGCTGAGCAGTGGTGTCCCAGCAGTCCTGATCCACTGCCCCTAATCTACTCCATAGGTCGCTTGGCAGTTTGTAGCTGCTGTAGGGGCCGGACCCTCTTCTTTAGGTGGGTAACTTTGACCTCTGCAGAACAGCATCCTTCAACCTTACCCTGAGCCCAACAGCAGAGCTTGTGACCTTCATGACTCTATGTCTCTCTCCTAGTCTCCAGTGATGTGCGATACATGAAGACTTGCCTAGGGTCGCAAGTCAATGAAGAGGAGCTTGTCCTCCAGGCAGGGCATGTGTCCTGCATGACTGAGGGCTCCACCCAGCTTAGAGTGGATCCCTCACAGGAGAGCTAGTAAGAGGCATGGGCTGTAGTGGGAAGTGGTGGGGTTTAGAGTTTGAGGGGTCGTGAGAACCTAGCAGACAGGTGGAGACAGTCTAGAACAAGTGTAGGTGAGGGTGAGGGTGAGGGTGAGGTGCAAAATCTGCAGGTTTTTTAACCTGAGAAGAAATGCTACTTGTGTAACAAGTGACAGACTCCAGCTTGGAACATTACCAGGGGATTAGATCAAGTATATTTTAGGGAAAATCAGTGAGAGTCCTCAACCTTGGTTCTTCCCTGGCTTTGAGAATCCTGGGTCCCACTCTGTCCCCAAGGACTTGGGCCCCAAGGGCCTATTGTCAATCAGCCCTGTCTTAGTGACTCATGAGTCACCAATGCAATTGTTGACATGGCCAGGGGTGGTCTATACTGTAGGCAGAGTTGGGAGAAGTCAGGGTGAAAATAATGATGTAGGAGAAATGAAGGGAGGGAAGACTGACTCTTCTCAGACCTGAGAACAATACACTGATTTGTGAGAATGAGAGTGTGTGTGTGTGTGTGTGTGTGTGTGTGTGTGTGTGTGTGTGTGTGTAACTTAAAGTCTTGGTCCACTTGAAGCTTCACTAGTTTCAGAAAAATAAATGGAATAAAACTGTACCAAAGGATGCTGGGAGGTGTATGCATTTAGCATCATGTACATTTCATATCACTTTGAGTTTGGTGATTCGAGTCTACCCCTGAATAAAGGTGTTAAAGTGCTGACTGGAACATGAAAATGTTCTAGTCAACATTTATAATATCATGTACAAGAGATTTTTTCTTCCTAATCTGAGGGGAAAGAAAACAATTCCATAGATAAGATGTACTGGAGGACATTATGCCATTGAGACTAAAAATCCAGCCCAAACAGGTGCTCCAGGAAGGCTGTTGGACTTCCTAGGCAGCAAAATGGGTTGCATCCAAATCGAATGCTGCAAAGCCAAAAGGAGGCTGAGGTGAAGTCCTGGTCACGGGGGGG